GCTGCCGCGAGGAAGAGAGCTCGCCATGGGCACACTCCTCAGGGCTGCAGGGGAGCAGGAAGCAAAGAGAAGGTACCTTCAGTTCTTTCTCCCGCTCCCCTGCTCTCCTCTTCATGGTGCCGCCTCAGCCAGCCGCCCGCCCGAAGCAGCAGGCGGCGGGAACCGTCCTCCCCCAGCTGCTCCGAGCAGCTCCCGCCGGCACCCGCCTGACACGCTGCTACTGGGGTGACTACAACTCCCGGCACGCACCGCGGCACGGAGGCGGGAAGCAGGTGGTGAACAGGCGCTGCAGTCCCCCGCGTAACGCGCAGGCGGTGCGCGGCCCCTCACCGAACTACAACTCCCAGCAGGCAGCGGGGACCCGCGGTCCCCGGAAGTGGAAGGGTTTGGTTAGCAACGGAGGCAGTTGCTAACAGAACGCTGAGAGAAGACATAGGGCTGGCAGGGAGCTGTGAGTACGGGGGAAGGTTTTCCCCCTCTGGGGCACGGCGGGGGGGGGACAGCCACACTGGAGCTACTCGGGGGGGGGGGGGCCGGGTCCCGAAGCGGGGGTGTCGCCGAGGAGCGGGGCTGGCGGGGGTCGGTGCTCTCCCGCTGCGCTCCTGAAGCGGTTGTTTCAGACCTGCGAGGCTCCCTCGCTCGCAGCTTAGTGCCCGTGGGGAAAAGGCAGGGTGCCTCACCGTTTGTTAAAAGTAGCCCTACAGCCCTCCTCAGTTGTGGTCTCTGTTATGTGTGTAAAAAGGCTGCTGGACTCCAGCGGGAGCTGTGTTCCTGTGCCCGAGGGCGGGAAAAAAAGGGGAGTGGAGGCGTTCCTTCGTGAGGCAAACGCTACCTTTCCTCCTTGCCCCCTCCGGTCGTGTAAGTTGTTGTCAGAACTGACGGAGCGGAGGAAAAATTTGGAAAGCCCTCGTAAAATACGTTGAAGGCAAGACAGGGTTGTTTTGATTTTTCTGTGTTGCAGTAGGACTTGCAGGTCTGAGAGATGTTTCTTCCCTCAGACTACAGCAGGATGTGGTGATCTCCTTTCCTAATATCTTCCATATCGTCTCTCTTTTTTTTTTCTTTTCCACCTCCTAAACCTCACAGCGCTGCAACAGATGATGTTTGAAAGATGATATGTGTGTATACTCCTACCAAGTAATAAATGAGATTATTTTAGATGACAAGCCCAATAGAGTGCAAACATTTATCTTTAAGGAATCAATAGAGGAAGAATGTAGGCTGGAAATACTTTGTGATAGGCTAAGATAGGTGGGTGGTCTGTCTCGCCTCCTTTTTTTTTCCTTTTTTTTTTTTTTTTTTTCTTTCTTTCTTCTTCTTCCCTCTACCAGAAAAGCATGATCTTGGCCATGGCCAAGACTCATGAAATTCTAAATCCATGTTGAAACAGTTAAGTAAGTGTCATAATTCTTAGGATTTCACTAGAAACTGTACCTTCTGGCCCCACTGGCTGAGAACTTTTGGAAATTTAAATAATCCCTCCTCAGTTTTGCTACATTTGAATGATGTTGGGAGAACAGTACACTTCTGTGAGTTATATAAGAATTCAGACCTAAAGCATGAGCTTTGATACTTAACTTTCAGTATTCATGCTCATTACTGTCTAGTCTTGCATAACTGCAAACTTGTGTGCAGTTTTTTGTAGTAATTTGTCAGATACAGGTGGTGATAGCACCAGTTTTGTAAGTAGTGCAGTGTATAAGAAAGTTACAGTTTCTTTAACTTCAGTAACTATATTTAAAATACTTGCTTATACCAAACTTGAAATTCTTATAGGTTAATCCCAGAGATATCAAAAATTTTCCTCTCTTTGTATGTGAAGTTCTTTTTCCTTATTTTTTAGGAACAAGAAGTGCCAAAGTGACTGTAGCTTAACCTTTCTTGGAAATAAAAACTGTTTTAAGTTGTTGAGGTTCTGCATGGCATGTGGATCTGTCCAGATGCAAATACAAATTTATCTCTCTTTTGCTTTATTATGCTTTATTTTAGGAAATGGTGGACTCTTAAGTACAATCACTTTTGTAGCAGTGTTGCTGTACAATTTTGTCAGATTTAATCGCTTTGGAAATGCTTTCCAAAGAAGTAATATGGAACTCTGTGGAGAAATCTCGTATGCTTTTAGAAATAATGCTGGAACTGTTGACTGCAAGGAAAGTAATTTTGTTTAAGTGTTTGTGATTGACACTGAGGTAATATTCAAAAAGTAACTGTAACATATGTTAAGGCATGATTTGCTGTTTGAAGTGTCCTTTCTCAGAGAAGCAGCATAAACGATGGTTGTTAGTGATTATTAAAGGTTACTAATGAGGCAAATAAATTGCCAGGCCAAATTCTAAATCTGTGATTATATTTTGCCTCCCTAAAACCAGGAGGCAGGTTTGTACTATTTCTGTCTAAAAACACTCTTTTTCATAAGAACAGTTAATTTGTTTTTTTTCTTTTCCTGTGGCCCAGGACAGAAAAGAAAGCTGAATACTTAATTTCCATCACTTTGTAATGAAAATAAGACAACTAATTCTTCCTTTTACTTTTGAAAATTTCATCTTTCTAAGTTTTTGGGACTTGAGATTTGTAGCAGCTTTATTTTGTCACTTGTCTTCAAGTCATGTCACGTTGCCAGTAAGAACTGACTTTCATGTACATCCCTGCTATGTTTGTTTACTTACAACGTAAATATTTCTGTCTTTTTGCTGCAGCCAGTAATGGATAACTACTGACAAGGGGGTTTTGTTTGTTTATTTGAGGGACAAGCATGTGTTGTTTTGTCTTTGTTTTGTAAATGAGTGGATTTCTTTCATACTGAAAATAACAGGTAGGTAACCATAGCAAAGTTTCTTTAGCAAGTTGCAGATAGTGAAAAACAGTAACATTTACCTGTGCCTGTTGTTGTGCTAGAGTTTTTGAAGCTTGATTTTGATAGATCACAAACATTGTGGAGTTGTGCTGATTAAAATATTTGTTTACCTCTTGACGTCTCTGAAATTTGCCAAAAAAACCCTGTCATTTTTGATTTGTGAAGGCTAAGACAACCACATTCTAGAAGGACCTATAATGGTAGCATCTTCTCCTTGCTACCATCGTGAACCAAATTTGGATTGATCATCTAGAGGTAAAAGTTTCTGTTCCACTTTAATCTCAGTTGCTGCAGTGATATTGATACAGTGACATATAGAATCATAGAATGCTTTGGGATGGAAGCGACCTTTAGAAGTCATCTAGTCCATCCCCCCTGCAATTGGCAGGGACATCTACAACTAGATCAGGTTGCTAAATATAATAATGACTGCAGTAATGAACCTAGACCTGAGTGAAGTCAATGACTGCAGATAGCACTAATTTAACAAACTAAAAAAAGTTTTGAGGGATTTCTGTGAAAAGCACAAAAAGAGCTGAGAACACTGAGGATCTGGATTCCAGTTGATAGGTATTTGTCATTAGAATTGTGCCATTGGTTACAATGGCTGCATGCCATGGACCTGAACATCCCGAAGTATTATTCTCCGTTTCTGTGACTGACAGCATTGAAATTGTAACCTTATTGTTAATCTGCAAGTGTAGATCATTTCAGGCATTTCAAAAGTCATGACAAGGAAACATTTGTTCTACATAAAAGAAAAACGTGTTCAGGTTGTTATAAACAGTGAAAGCTGGAAGTAATACTTAATCCTAAATTTTAATGATGAAAAAACAAAAAGGTTGAAAACAAGATTGACTTGTTGGAAACTAAACTTCCGTTAATCCTTTTCATTCCTTTTGGACAAAGCCATAAGCAGACTTGTTTAGGATGGAAGACTTTACTGGTAGAAGAAAGGCATATCTTTAGCAGCAGTTCTGATTATGATAGAATTAACAGATACTTCGTGGAATGTCTGTGGGTTATACAGTGTCACTTTTGTCCTCTGATGCAGGTGTTTCGTAACATCACTGTTAATTTCCCAGTGCTTTCCTGGGTATTTTTGCATTCAGTAAGGATTTATATTACCTGAAGAGTGTAACAATAGGGGGAAAAAAGACTGTCCAACGGACTTCATGTCTCTCTTTTCATGCTATTCAGCCTTACTTGACTCTATGGCCAACATCTAATTTTCTGCACTGGAAGAGAAGAAACAGTAGTTGTTAACAAGTATCTTCATATATTATACTGAAACAAATGTACTACTTTCTCACATTAATACTTTCCTAATCTCACTTTGTCATGTAGCTAAGTTTTCTGTTGCCTCAAGAAAGAAATGTGTTCAGATTTATGAGAATCATTCATAGGAGAATCTCTATCTTAGAAAGTAATTTCTCTTATGACAATGATTGAAAGAAGACTAAGAGAATGGTAGGCAACACTGAAATGACTTCATAACCCCCAGCACCTCTCTTTCAAAAAGTCCCATTCAAAATGTGGAAGATTGCATTACTCATCTACCCGTTGATGCCTTAAGCTTTGACCTGTCTTCAAATGAACAAACAAACAATTAAAAAAAACCCACCCCCCACAGCTCCCCTCCCCCCCCGCACTTAGAAATATGGCCTTAGCCCAAAGATTGCTGAAGACAACAGAATTAGAACTTAAAAAAGCTAATTCTACATATATTAAATAGAATTGGAGCTATTGCATACAAAGAAGCCATATTTTGTCCACGGATTAAAACTGGCATAATGTTAAGCTTGAAAGTTTAGATTGTCCTCTGAGCAATATCATTGAGATAGCAGCATTCACAGTAATGTACAAGTCTGTCATTTTAGTGAATCTGTCAGTACTTTTTCCTTCATTTTATATGATGTATTGTAGTTCATTCTAGTCTCGCAGTTTAAGTTGCAGATGGAGAAGAATTTCATTTGAATTTTGTTATCCGTAGATAAGCCATGTCTGTTCCAGCAGACGAAACTGTGGGGGACCTGCCTGTGAGAGATGTAGGTCTAACTCTAACTGGAACTGGAGGATTACAAGGTTTGTACCAGCTGCTATTTATTAAAGTTACAGACTTTGATCAGTGGCTTCTTTAGTTTCTTTCTAAAAATGTTTCTGACATTCCCACTCACAAAATTAAGTTCAAATACCATTCAAAATCTGGGTTAAATTCTGAAACATACTATGACCCATTCTGTGTTCATGTTTCTTTTTATAAGAGGGGAGTTGCTGTGAGATGCTGAAAACTGGAAATCTCATTGAGCTGTAACATTCATCCTTCCAGAAGAAAAGAGGACTTTTTTGCTGAATTGTGGACAAAACCAGACCCATTTAACAAAATGGGAACCAAAAGTACTATGCAATTCTGATGTTATTCAGCTCCTATTAGAATGGAACTACTGGGCTTAGTCTTGTATCTGGGTAAATTTATAGAATTATGAGTTAATCTTTTCAAGCTTCAGGGGAGTACGTTAACTTTGAAACAGATTAGAAAGCATCTCTGTGGTAATGATAATCTTATTTAGGTAGCATGTTTGACAGTACCTTCTTACTTGCTAAAATATTTCCTTTGTTTTGTCTAGTAGGTAATCAGTTTGGTGTATCATTTGAATTACTTTTTTTGTCTGTATGAGGGAGGAAAAAGGGAGTGATTAATATGCCAATACATCAGAAAAAAATAATCAACAGACTCATACAAGTGTAAAATATCAAATTACTTGAAAACTTTTTTTTCAGTATTTCAAAATGAGTTAGACTTTGGATTGCATATTGTTGAATGTATTGAAGATAATTTAAAGTTGTCTTGGTTTGGCTAGAATCATCAACTACACAGAATGTAAAAGCTCGACAAGCTGTATCACGCATCAGTCGAGAGGAACTAGAAGACAGATTTCTTCGTTTACGTGATGAGAACATCTTACTCAAACAGCATGCAAATAAGCAAGAGGAGAAGATTAAAAGGTACAGGTATTAATGTTTTTATTTTAGCTCACAATAACATTTTTGCCCTTTAAAGCATTATCAGCAAATTAAAAAGTGTGCAGATTTCTCTCAGAGCACTTTTTAAAGCAGTAGCAAAAATCACTAATAGGAATTAATTTTTGTATTGATTTCTCATTGTCTCTGTGATATGTGGGATATTTTTTGCAGTGGACAGTATTAGATCTCCATGTAGAGAGGTACACCGCTATCCACCACTTTGGAGTTGATACCTTGGGTTCCTAGCTATACTGTCTGAGTACAAATATAACAGGTATTCTGGGAACTGAAGAAGAGGCTATAGAAGCCTAATTATTCATCAGGAATTTCATCCTAGAATCAAAATGGCCTATACAGAGAGATTCTGCCCCTTTTGTTGTCCTTCTCTGTCCTCCAAGAAGTTGACTTAGTATCTAGCCTTTTATCGTCTAGTTAACCCTAAAATATCTTTATAATTATGATCAGCTCTCCTTTATTCAGGGTAATAGATAACTTCATTGCAGAAGTCCCAAGTAGCATGGGGAGCACAGTACCCAGCGTACCTAAACATATGCAAGCAACTTTAAGCTTATTATTAAACTTAGTACTGTGCTGGCAAACCAATCTGGACTCAGCGAAACTGTTCATGGTATTACTATATTCCAGGAGGTCTAATTAATCCAAAAGCACTGTGTCTGTGTGTTCACATTGTGCTGTACTTTAGCTAATAAAATCTTGCTGCATCTAAGCTAGCTTCTGGTTAGAAGCTAAACAATTCATGCAAGGGCATCCAAAGATACTGCCTCTGTAGATGGGACTATTTCATACTTTTCTAAAGTCCAAAACATTCTTTCCTTTTGACTCAGTGTTCAGTGAGTCAGGGTCAAATTGACCAGCATGACATAACTTCCATCTTTCCTGTCAGGCTACTGTCAAATACAAGATGGTGGAACAAATGAATTGTTTGCTTATTCCAAATGGCATTTCCTGTGTTTCTGTTAAATGATTTATCAGATGCACTCATCACCCGCTTAGGTAAAATTACACAAAATGTCCAAATTGGAATACCTGAATTAATATTTTAAGGCACAGAAAATATAAAATACAGTGTTGGTCTAGATTGCCAGAGAAAAATCTTAACTCCTCAAGCTAAATTTCTTTCCCAGCATCCCTCGTGCCAAAACGCTTGTAACTAAAAGTTTGGAATGAATTTGCGGTAGAAGTACATTGAAAAAAAAAAAAAAAATCAAACCAAATAAACAGCCAACCTGCTTATAGGCAAGTAACATTCTGTGACATCCTAAAGTTATTACAGATTTTTTTTGTTTCACTTTTGTTCTTTTAAGTAGAAGCTTCTGTCCACAAGTATACAAAAATAAAACAAGCCCCTTTAAACAAATGAAGTGTGTCCTTACTTTCAGTTTTCTTTCTGGGCCTGCAAAAATAGATTCCCTGTAAACTAGATACAGGTCTTGAAGATGTGCGACCAATTTTGTAAAGTCTTGAACTTGTCTCTCTCATCAAAGCCACCTTTTCTTTCTTTCTATGCCAAGTTTTTTCCATTCACTGCTGGGTATGTTTTCTGTTCTTGTATATTACATCACCTCCATGTGCCCTCTCTGCCTTTTGTTCTAGCTTACCAATGTTTATCAAAACTAAAGGAAATCAAAGGTACAACTTTTGAGATGCCAAAAGCAAAATTTGTATCCTTTTAAAGATAGATGAAAACCATACCCTCTGTATCTAATTATATTCTTCAGCTAACCGTTCCTTCTCTGAAGCACATTGGTAATATTTACCAAGTATAAAATTGAGTATGCTAATGAGAACTATTAAGTCGCTTTTTCCGGAGTACCTTCTTAAATATCTCCACCTATAAGTTTTAGCCACTTTAGAGCTGAAAAATATATTTAAATCCTAAAATACTAGAAATGATATATCATTGGAATGTGGCATATTATTAGCATTCTTTCCATAGTTGAATGTTTTGTGGAATTGTAGCTTTTATAGTTTGCCCCACCACATCCCAAATCTGTAACTTTACTTAACAGCATGCAGAGGTTCCTATATAAGGTCATGCGTTAAAAATTACATTTAAGCAGCATATGGAGTAAATATGTGTCCTCCCTTTACTAACCTTAAATGATAAGCCTTAGGAAACTGTTATTTGTCAGTGCTATAAAGCAGATTGCTGCACAGTGGTTTCAATTATCTTCAAAGAGTTCTTCACAGGCAGTAATAGTTATATCAAAACCTGAAATTTATTATTCAGGTTCTATGCTGAAGTCTTCACAGTGATTATGTTCCTTTCAACAGAATGCTTTTTATGCTGACTTTTCACATTCTTTTTCATCTTTTTTTATTATTTTCCCCAGAATGGCCACCAAGTTAATACGGCTTGTTAATGATAAAAAAAGGTCTGAACAGGTTGGTGGCGGCCCCAAGCGGCTGGGTCAGGCTGTGGAGCTGGAAGAAATGATTGAGCATTTGCAAGAGAGAGTTCGTGAGCTTGAGAAACAAAACGAGAGCCTCCGCAGCAAACTCATTTCAACTAAACAGCAGCTCCAGATTCAAGGCCATAGGCCTTGTCCGTACAGCTATGTTCAATCTCGTATTAACACTGGTCTCAAAAAAGTGAGTGAAGCTGCTGGCATGCCGGAGCACGCAAAGAAAGGTATAATTCACCTTTATTAAAAATAGGGGTTTATATAGGTACTACTAATTATTGCTTCGCCGTAGCAAGTACATACTCTTTTCTGTTCATCAGTGGGCAATACTACCTGTAGGCAGAAAGATTGTTCTTCCTCCTTTTTCTTGTATTTATTTACAGCATTCATGATAACTTGTTTGCCTTTGAAGTCCTTATTTTGAGAATCCACAGTGGTAGGGGTAAAACAAAAGTACAGATTTGAAAATAAAGTAGTTATCAAGCAAGTTTTCTAATAGTTAAAATCATGGGACTTTCTTAATATAACTTCTCTACATGTTAAAGGCTTATAAAAGAAGTATATGAAAAAGTTTAGCGTTATCATGTTATAACAAAGTTTTACATCTGTAGTTTGTTTGCACATGTTTTTCCTTTTTTAATTTCAAGGTTTGTTCTAGTCTCTTGGTACATGTGTGCACAACACTGCAGACTTGAAAGATCTATTACATGTGTGGACTTTCAAAAGCAAATACCACAATGCAGCCATCTTTAATGATGCTTTTTACTGTGAAGACTTACTGCTGAAGGCAGTCTCACTCTCAGTCCTTTATGGTAGCTGCATTTGGAAATTACACTTTAAAACTGTCCTGGTTTCAGCTGGGATAGAGTTAATTTTCTTCTTAGTAGCTGGTATAGTGCTGTGTTTTGGATTTAGTATGGGAATAATGTTGATAACACACTGATGTTTTAGTTGTTGCTAAGTAGGGCTTACACCAGTCAAGGACTTTTCAGCTTCCCATGCTCTGCATGGCGTACAAGAAGCTGGGAGGGGGCACAGCCAGGGGGCCTGACCCACATTGGCCACAGGGCTATTCCACACCATATGACGTCATGCTCAGTATATAACTGGGGCGAGTTGGCCGGGGGGGAAGGGATTGCTGCTCGGGAACAGGCTGGGCATCAGTCAGGGGGTGGTGAGCAATTGTGTCGTATATCACTTGCTTGGTACATTATTATTGTATTATATTATTATTATTACTACTACTACTACTATTCTATTTAATTTTACTTCAATTATTAAACTGTTCTTATCTCAACCCAGGAGTTGTCTGACTTTCACCCTTCCAGTTCTCTCCCCCACCCCACTGGGGGGGAGTGAGTGAGCGGCTGTGTGGTTCATAGTTGCTGGCTGGGGTTAAACCATGACAAAAACCTTTCTATTTTCATATGAACATTTGTAGAAATAGTTGTACTCAGTTAATTTATGCACAAATACAGACAATGTGTTTAAAAAAAAAAAAACAAACAGCTATGTTGGCCCTGATTCAAAACTGAGTCAGCAGAAGTGTCTTCTTAACTTCTACAAGCTATGGATCAGGCTGATGGACAGTTATATTGTGTATTTTCTCCATCTCACCCTTCCACCAGTCTTTATTTTGGTTATGTTGATTATTCAGGTGTATGAAAACAGAAGCAATTCTTATGTTTTTAGACAATAAAAAGCAATTGACTCTACCACTTTGCTTCTTTAAGTGGAATATAGGGCAAGTTTCGACATTTTAAATACACCTGTATTTTCACAGTTTATGTCATAAATCAGGCAGTTTTATTCCCAAAGTCAATTTTTTGTTTGTTTGTTTTAACGATGCAAAAATAGGGTAGAGATATAATAAATTTATTCAGGCCCAGTGCTAGCAGAGAGTAAAGGGCAACTCGGTTCAAGGATTAAAGATCAAATGTTGATATGGCATGCTGTGAGGACTTCTTTTGGCATAAGAACAGATCCAGATCAGAGATGTCCTGTGCAGAGCTAGGATTGGGGCCATGTTAATTGAGGCAGTGGTTCTTAAACTGAAGAGAACATGAGGAAGGGGGAAAAAAAAAAGAAGTTTTCCACAGAACATCCAGTTCAGATAATAACGTTCAGAAATTTCACAGAAATTCTAGTGTGCCTATCTCGGTTCTAAGACCTTGTCCAAACTAGAAGGGATTCTGATAACTTGAGTGCTATGAATATGCAGTCTCTTGAACATACTTCTCTAAGGTAAAGCCTTTTATTAAAAATTTAGTAACCAACACTCAGAACTTGGACACGGTGGTGTTGTCTTCCAGAAGGTCAGAGAATATTTTCTATAGTATTCATTAGCATAGCATATTTCATATTTTTCTCTTGCATGTTTTCTCATCCTGCTGTTTTGATTAATGATGATAAACCTAGCCCTCTAGTGTCGGGTATGTGCCCCCTGTCTCTAAAGACTGCTGGACTCTTAGATTGCTCTGTGGAACCATGGGGCTGAATCTCAAAACATTTTTAGTGCAAAATATTCAGAGCAATTCTCCAAAAATAAAATGAGGGCCTGGAAAAATTCAGGAGAGTTTAGCTGTCTCCAGGGTTTGAAGAGGCAAGAAGAATCCACAAATAATAAATACACATTACTGTATCTGCTTTGCATTTGGCTGGTTTACAAATACTGTAACAAGTCGATCCAAAAGATGTGGTCAGGTATGAATGTTCACTAAACACCCACTCATTTTTTTCATTACTTTCTTTATTGAGTACAACCATCTAAGATATATCGTGATTTGAACAAAAATAAATAAAAAATATATACGTATATATATATAGCACAATTACCAATACCTTAAAATAATAGTTAAAGATCAAAATTCAAGTTAACTCAGCACAAATGTGAAGGAGGTACATGTTTTTCAGTCATTTTGTGAACCTGCTGGTGTCGTTGTACCTTGAACCTAAATGACTCAATTTTCGGGACTGAGGGATGGCAGCCTTAATGCTGTATTTGAAATTTAATGCATAGTTTGGTCCCACCTCAAAACTTCATTAATTTCTTCTAGCTGAAGAAACAGAAGAAGGAGAAAGATTTGGAGAAACCATTACTTTTACCCCTGAACTAACAATTCTTCCTCAAGTAATTTCGCACTTTTCTTCTTCACCAGGGACTTAGTATGCTTCTAAAGAACATAAGGAAATTATTTGCAGTGCTGCTAAATATGGTCCTGTAGTTGTTTGGCTAGGTAAACGACACTCATGATTTTGTAAAGAAAGTGCTATCAGAGAAAAAGTGATTACAAGTCCTTGTTCCTGTTTAATAATGTTGATACTGTTCTTCGAAGACACCATCTCTGTTCTCAGTTTTTAAAAGTAAAATCTTCTAAGAAAAACATTTCAAGACACATTTTTAACACTTTTCTTTAACAGTGCATGCTGTATTGCCCATACTTCAAATTTTACAGCAGCTATGTTGTAGATAGTCTGAGTATCTCGTTCCACATGAATTTGATGTAAAAATACTTTTTATGGCATCTATATAGGAGTTGTGTTTGTACTTTATAGAGATTGTTGTTTTGTTAAATGCTTTTTCATTCAGCCTGACAAAAATTTATCTTTTCTTTGTTTTCAGGAATGAGATTTCAGGATTTAGAAGTGAGGTCACCTAATCTTGTGCTCCCAAGATATGGACAGAGTCAGCTCGAGGATCAAAGGGCTGAAATAAGAAATTTGTATGATTTTCATATTTCTTAATTTTTGTCATTATAGTTGTGAAAACTTGTGGTTTTCTTGAAGGAAAAAAATACATTTTTCAGAGGTCTTTACTTCAGAAAATAAACAGACGTTGTTGGATCTAACAACAGTAACACTGGTAACAATGCAGAAGTGTTTAGGATCAGGAATTTAGAATGCAAAATGTAGGTACATAAGAATTTGACTGGAAGTTAAAATTGATCTTCAGTGGTGAGCCTCTCTTTCTGCTAGGATGCAATGCTGCCTAGCTTACTACTGGGCAAAACTGACAAAAGCAGAAAGAATCTTAGCTGCAAAATTATTACCAACATAACTCCTAAAATGTGTAGGATAATCCATGCAAGTGGTGACTGTATTGAAAGTGTTACGCTGATGCATTTAAACTTAATTTCTAGAGGTGGTGAGATTTTATGGGTAAATTGCAAAAAGTGCAGTATGGGATAGTAATGTAAAATGATTTTGATTCACTTCTGCATTTTGAAAGTTGGTTGTAGTCCAGTTGCACATTTTAACTGAAACTGAAGCTCAGGAAACTCTTGATAACATCCTTAATGTAGACACTACATAAGAACAGAGAGGTGTTATATAGGATGGAGAAAAGGGAGTTAACATCTAATTCAAAGATATTGAGGTCTGATTAGAACATTTTTCTTCTCCAAAGTATATTGGAACTGATTATGGTTTTTAGACCTCTGGTTTTCTAAAAGCTACTTTCGGTATGTGTGTTTCTTTCCATAATGATTTACTTAAATCAGATTTACTACAGTATCTGTAAATGCTAAATTTTCAACGAATGGGCAAGCTAAGCATGCAAGTATATGAGTTAATGTGCAATTATGTATCTTGTGCTTGAAGTTTTGTAAACACAAAGATTTAGTGGGAATATAGGAAATAATTTTACAGAAATATTCTTATAAATGATTTAAATTTAAATTATTTAGCTATATTTAAATTGCACTCTTGCTAGCATGCTGTCTGAATTTAACCCTTGCTGAACAGTTATAATTAAAAAAAAAATAATTGCATTATAATAGAATGTTGTTACTGGGAAAAAAAAAATGTTTAGTAATTTTATAGTCATGGGCCTAGAAAGGGCGGTTTCTCCTATACCTATCACTTTTGAAGACTAGGAAAACAAGAGCTATCCATTAAGGCTGCCATGAATCTTGGTGTTCACAATAGCTTTTCTCCCAAGGCTCATCAAAAGCATTGTGTTATAATGCAGAAAACATTCAAATAGCGTTTTTTTCAGAGATTTCAGTTCTCACAAAGGTGCAAAAATAACCACAGTTGCTCAAAATGGTGCACTCAGGTACAAAAGCAAACACATGGCCAAAAAACTCAAGGTACTTTTAAGTCTATGATAGGTGTATGAAGTAATGAAGAACTGTAGCTTATGCATCAAAAGCTTTAGAGTGAAAAAAATTGTAGATAAATTGTTGCTTATTCTTATTAGAAAAAATTATTATTGGAAAAGATATCTGAGATGAACTTGACAAGAAAACCAAAATCGCAAAGTTGTGGCCTACTAAAAAATATTCGGACTCTGATCTCTATAGTTTTCTGCCTTTTTTTAATTGTATTTACTGGATAAATTCCACTGTTAGAGACATATCATCTGATTTTTTTAGCCTAAAGTTACCTAACTCAGAATAAAAGCTTAAAAATTACTCCCACTACTCCATCCATTGAAGATCTCATATTCATTTGATAGCTAGTAATGGTGTTTTGCTTTTCTGAAAACGGTTGGTACTAATGGATTAGGAGGAGGGTATGTTTAATAGAGAGTATAAGAAACCATAAACGATGTTTTTAGCTAGGTTCTGCTAAACATTATTCAGTCCACATAAACATTTATTTTAAGAGTATTATGTGTTTGTGTTGTGTTTGATAGTGTGTTTGATAGTATGTTTTAATTATTTATCTATTTATTGTACTATTCACATCTTTTCATGTGGTGATCTCTAATTATTTTCATAGTAAGCTGAACTCTTAAACCTCTGTTGTGATGCATGTCATTAAGAAATACAAATTTTGCTGAACATTTAAAATTTTTGCTTTCTTGAGTATTCATTTAATTTTTTTTCTTTTATTAAATACTTACTGGTTTTGGAATGTAAGATACTTGTACTTGCAGGGAGACTGTGATTGAGTCCCAAAGGGAACACATTGATGAACTAGAACATGCCAGAGAGGTACTTGTGAGTCAGCTAAGAAGGAAAGAAAAGGAAATTGAAGAATCCATCCTACGGCTGAAAGAGCAAGAAACAACAAGCCAAAGGTAATGTGAAAAATAGAAATCTCTGTGGTGGAAGCATTAGAAGAGCTATGTCACAATGTTTATATATAGCTGTCAAAATTACTTGTTCTGTGAAGAAATACGTGCTTTATTCATTTTTTTTCCTTTGTGAATCTAAGTCATAAAATGTTTTACCAAATAGCCATGGATAATTCTAAGCAAGGAGATTGTTATGATAATAGGTGGTTATGTTTTTTCGCAAATAAACAAAGAGGTTCATAATTACCATTTTAGAGAATTCATTTCCAGCTGATTCAGATTCAATTGAAGTTCAACTCATTAAATTTTAATCATCTGTTGTTTCTTCAGTGTAATTCTTAGGAAATTTCAGATATAGGTTCACAATGGATAATTCAATGTTCATGAATGCTCATTGATAATTTGGAGTCTACAAATAGTCGAAAAATAATGGCCCTGTAAGGGTAGATTAGCAAATTTTTGAAGGACTGCAGTATAGCTGTGCAATGAAACAAAGCCAGACAAACATGCTTGTGGAATGTGTTTCACAGTAAAGCCTCTATTACTTTAATCTCTTTCTTTCTTCTTTCGCTTTTGCAAAAATATATGCAAAATTATATGCAAAATTATATAACTTTACATATATTTTCCCTCTTTTGACTGTTTCAATTTCAGCCTGTTATTTTTAATTCTGTTAAGGATCTAATACGGCACAATCCTGCTTTCCTTACTCATTTGATTTCAACGAAAGTTCTACTCGGATGAGAAATATGTGGTCAGTTCTTCAACTGCCTTTCAAGAGAGGGACCCCGTTATTATGTGTGAGCATCCTTTTGTGCATCAGTGGCGCTACATAAATAATACATCATAATGTTTGCTATTAAATTATTCACAAAGTCATAAGTCTCCCCTATTCAGAATTTCCTTTATATAGTTTAAATAGGTTAAAGAAGTTGTTGTCATAAATAATTTCTCAGTCTATGCCTACAGTGAATTCAGAAAATATTTTAAAGATTTTTTTCATTATATGAAAATAATCTGATACAAATCTGAAAGAACTTCTGTGCTTCATTTTTCAATAGATAAACACTGTTCTTTATGTACAGCAGTCAGAAACTGAACATAACTTCAAAATTCAATGTCAGCTACCATGTTTCTGTGAAATTTTTAAGGAGTTTTAAAGTAAAGATACACTTCAAATTCAGCTAAAAAATCCTTAAATAAAGTCAGGCTATAAATAAATAAGGATCTACACTACTTGACCTAAGTTACAATCTGTGAATTCATGTTTGAAGTTCTGGAATTATTTCCTTTATAGTCTGTTTCTTGTTTGAAACCAGATAAAAGATACATTAAGTATTTAAGAGTTCCTGTGTTTGGCTGAAGACACTGGGAAAGAAATTGAAAAATGTCCATTAGTGCATATCCAGAACAGTGTGAGTTCTATAATTTTGCCACTAGAATACTTTATGGAAGGCTGTTAATCCCCATGTTTTTCAAGTTATATTTCATTTTATGCTGAATGAACCAGCGTCAGAGCTTAGAGGGATGCTATTCTCTCCAGGTTTAACTGTAACCATAGGTACCTATACATGCTACCTTTAGGAGATTTTTTTCATTAGCTTTCTTTCTTGGAAGTCTTGTAACTGGTATCTAGAACAGTCTGTATTAGTTGTTTTATTACACAAATAGATTTATAGGTTCTATGTAATTCTTATTTTTAATCTTCTTTGCATCAGAAAGAAGAAACTGTCAATACTGGAATATCGGAGGAAAAATTGGAAATTTGGATGATTGATAAGGTCATCTTATTTCATCTTTGTAGTTTATGTCTTTGGATTTTGGTACAATTGACAGCTTTTTCTTGTGTTTTGTAAGAATACACTTGGCTGTCATCCGGTTACATAACTACCCAAACACAGTTAATCTGTTGAAATTATTTAGGAACTGTATGGTGCCAAAAGGACGTAATAAACATGCTTCCACCGATCTTCATGTTTTAGTACCATTTGATTTCAGCCTGGTGTTAACAAAATTAGGTTAATTTCAACCTCTAGGAAAACAGTCTCTATTCTGCTACATGATTAAGAAATTCTTGTGATTGAAATAACAGTAGTTTCCAAGTAGTGAAGCATCCCCAGTTAATAATCATTGATCCACCAGCAGTAAGGGAGGGAGATACTGGTTATCCTGAGTCCTATACCCACAAGAAATCCAGTTATATTTTAAACCTGTCTTTACAGCTTCACTAGTTTCTGTGTAACAACACAAGAACTACATAACATAGCTGAGTTCATATGCAGTGTACTCCTTGAGGTGATTATTGTAACATGGCTGCAATCGATGTTTTTTTCGATATTTCATTAGAGATTGTTTGGGGATTGTTTCAGGAATATATAATTCTGACTTAGTTAGAACTTAAGGGAGAAACTTGGCCTGTGGGTTGTTAGACTAAACACATTTTCTTAGGTACAAAATTTAACTGCATTTAGCTTGACTGTTTTTAATTTAAAGATGGCCAAAACCATAATAACCTTGTGGTTTGATGTCTATGATATACAGTGTACAAGTTAAAACAGTAAGTCTAAACAATCACATTTTGCAAGCAGATAGCTTCAAATAAATTAATTGCTCATTGTACTTCCCAAAAACATTTTTAAAACCTCTCCATAATGCATTTGTGAAGCAGGTACTTGGTTTTTGCACACGTTTGTGGTGGGGTTTGTGTTTTATTTGGTTGGGGTTTTTTAATGAAAAAGCTTATTTGCCAGTCATTTTTTAATTCCTTTGGCATTTTTTCTGCAACATGATTTTGGAATTAGACCTATTAAATGTGTGCATTTTTGGACAGGAGTATTATATCTGATGCACTGATGACTTCTGTGTTTGCATTATAGCGTTGCAGACCTAGATTAAAATGTGGAACATGTTAGTCACGATGCATTATCTAAAGGGTTTTGAGAGACTACAGCATGTATATGAATTTGCTACATCATGTCTAGTATAAAAAAAAAATTATATTTGCATTTCCATATCTGATTTTTCATTTTTAATTAGTTTCCCTAAAGATCATGACTTCTTTTCATTTGTAGATAGCTCTTTAGCCAGGCAAACAAATATAGAATTTTATATTGGTATTTAAATAATCTTGATAACTTAGATGCTAGAGCTATTGATGCAATATTAATGTTTTGCTTATTGCAAATATATTATCAATTACAACATAAAGGTGCTACTAGAAGGTAAACATTGTTGAGGGGTTTTTTTTTCCCTTTATATTTGACTTCCTATAAGGAATAAGAGGTAAAGGAAAGAACATAATGTGTATCAACATATAATCCTGTTAATTCCTAAGCGTTGTAAAACGAGAAGAGTACTGCACATTGACATTCTATTCTTTACTTCTCTGCTTGGGAGTCTATGTGTATATTTTGGCCATTGAGGCATTTGCCATTGAGAACTATTAGCCGAGAAACCTTTTGTTTATTTTGCCAGACAGAGGGTAAGTGATCTTGAGAAGTATGGTGGTGATATTTTTTTTACTTGCTTGTTTTTCTTGCTCTGAATGTGAATGGGGAAAGTTTGTGAGCCATGAGTCCAGTTGATACAATAGTCAGGACTCTGTAAGAGTAGTTTCAGTATTGTATCCTTGTCCTGTTCATATGGAGGTAAAGACAAGATGCAAGGGATGTGGTTTAATTAGACCTCAATTTTATTAGCTTAACCATCTGGGATTTACTGGCATAAATTTGTACAGTGCAGGTCAAGATCCTTTCCTTAATCATTTCCTTCTGGTGTACGTTGCTATCAGTCCCCCATTCCCACACAGCTGGTCCCCAGCCTGTTATTGGGACCCCACTCTATATGCTTTTAATCCAAATGATAAGAGGTCTGGAAAAGAGATTGTCTCTTTGGTGTACTTCAGACATTAACCCCAAACATAATTCTTAGCTTTTTAAAGAGTCACTTTCTCCTAACTTCATTTCCAATTTCAGACTTTTTAATCCACCTTTAAGATGAGGTTTAGAGTGGAAGGATAGAGTTCATGTTCCTTATTTCTGCACTTGTGGCAGAAGGCATGCTAGAGCTAAATCAGTATGCCCATTAATTCACGTTACTGCCTGAAAAGGGGTATTAGTTCCTTTTTTTTTTTTTTTTTTTTTTTAAATTTTTTTTCCGGTCTACCTCTTGGTGTTGCAGATACGTTTGAAATAAGTGTGTGAAATAAGGTGGGGTAAAAGGGGTTTTTTTTTTTTTTTTTTTTTTTTTTTTTTTCTAACTTCTGTTCCAGGTCTACCTCCATGTCTTCAGGTTCTGTGGCAGGATTTTTGGCAGTAGAGAAAATACTGAATGAGCTATCGTAGTCCAGCTTTATTCTTATATGTTATTTTGTTATTCTTTGAGCAAAATATTATCTATGTAAGTGAAAGGTAGCATTGACTTTTGTATCAAATCAGTATATAAGCCCTATTTTAAGTTATATTAGAACACCTGGGACGATGTTCTGGAAGCAGAATACATCAACTACCTGGGAGGGAGAAAGCTGTGTAGCTAATCAATTTCTATTCTATTGTACTGTTTTGTGACTTCATTTATAGAAAAATGAATCTTCCCAACAGAATCTTCCCTAATGAACTTTGTCTTGCCCATGAAATCTGAAATTATTTTGTTCTTCACCAGCAAGCTCCTTGTCATGTACTTAGATGCATTGGACATTTCTTAAACATATTTTATTTAAATAAATAAATAAAATATTGTAGAAGTACTGTAGAGAAATAATTTTGTTGCTCTAGCCTATAATGAGAGCTGAGATTGTGATCGATGTAATGCACTAATAAGAAATTAGCACATGCTTTCTGTAGCTAGAAACTTCATGAGATAAATACTCTTAAAATTGTAAGAATTAAAATGATCCCAGTAAAAAGTAATTTTTCACTTCCAAATTTGAATAATTTACTTCATAATATCAGTACCCCAAACCTGTTTAAATCAAATGCTGTTTCATTCACTGTTGAAAAAATAGTTAATGTTGATTGTCAGGAGTCATGGGGTTTACATCTGTACATCATAAATTTCACTATCATCTGCTCCTTTTTCTACTTAAAAAAAAAAAAAGAAAGAAAAAAAAGCCTCCTGCTTAAAAAAGAAGGGGAAAAAAAAGGAAAAAGAAAAAGCCTTTGAAGGCATCAGGGCCTTTTGTTTGATGTGTGGAACAAGATTAATAAAAACGTGCCACTACATTAGCTTTTAAATAGCTAGCATGAGACAGTGCTGCTGTCTATGTTCACCACAACTTTAATTTATGTAGATAACATTTTAGACACATGATAGTTTTAGCATTGTATTAGGGGTATTTCTTGCAGAAGAACTCAGGTTTGTGAGTGTGTTTATCTTCCGTGTAAGGACAATTAACTGGGCAATGCCAAAACACAATAGGCTTTGATATTTTACAGAATAAAAGGAAAGTATTTCACGTACTCAGCTGGTTTACAGATGTGTAAGCTTTGTAGTCCATTTTCTTGCTCCAGCATGGCATTGTGACAATTCCTCCAGTATGTCTAAAATATATAAATATTGGAAGAGAAATTAACTTTTCAAATGCTAAAGATTTATTGTGATTTTATCATATTTTATATTAATACAAATCAGAATTGGTTTCTCTTCCCATACTTGAAGAAGCTGTGAAAATAATGGGGTTTCGTTTCACTGTTTGAAGTAAGGGAAAACATCAGAAATAAATGTTTATTTAAATCTTGAATTATTTTAAACATCCTTTGTATTAACCAGTATGTTCTCAAATTAATCTTAGAATTGTAACAATATAGAACACCTACATGGATATTAAGTGATTTTCATGTAGTTAAGGCACACCTGTAGCTTGTTTGAGTGCCAGCCTTAAGGTGTTATAGTATAAATTGGTAAGTCACTTTTTCTTAGCAGTATTTGATAGGTTTAAACTCTGAGAGGAAACTCCATAAAATGGTAGTCTACTGGCACCAAATACTTTGAAGGATGGAAAAGAAGTGAATGGAAAACAAATAATCTCTTTAGGTATAGGATTGTTTTCTCTTCCTGTCATATATAGTTCGATACAATAAACAAAGATATATACATATTGATTGAAACTGCTATGTCATCATGCAGTAGAATGTTTGTTTATTTACCTAAATTCTGTAATGTGGATTATAGAAGAAGAAATTAATTTGGGTATTACACACTAAATCTTCTCCCAAACGTGTTGTAGAAAGCTGATTTGCAAAGGATTTCAACTTTTCAAGACAAAAATAATAAGATAATTCATTTTGTGTCTTTAAGCTTATGATGTATTTCTTTTTCATACAGGCTAAACATTCGGGACAATGTGGAAATGATCAAGGTCCATAAGCAGCTGGTTGAAAAAAGCAGTGCTCTTTCAGCAATGGAAGGAAAATTTCTCCAGCTTCAAGAGGTAATTGCAATTTGGTCAGTAAAATTCCTTTGCTCTTGTCACATAAGCATGCATAAATGGAAAATAAATATACACAGTTCTTGATTCTGAGTCAATGCTGAGTACATGAAAATGAACCACATAATACATTGCACCCAAGCTATTCCAAATGTGTAGGTGTTTTTAGTCCTAAATTTTGTTGTTTTTTTTTCAGAAGGGTCTAGCAGGTCTTAAAGATTTTATCTGCAAAGCCTTCCCAGGCAGATTGTGCAGAATGAACTGAGTTGTCTGGCTATCTAACGAGATTCCTGATCATTTAAAAAGAGGGCTTTGAGTTAAATGTACCAATTTTCTAAAGAAGTGCTACCAGACCCCCCTCACTTTATCAGTCTTTGATAAGGTTGGGGAGGTTTGGCCGTTTAGAGTTCTGACATTAGGACTTAACTTGGGTTCATAGGTTCATGGAAATTATTTTAGAGGGCTACTGTAAGTATTAGATTTTTTTATAAAAACAGCAGTTTTATGAAAATATCACCAGAACACGCAACTGCACGGTAGATTCCGTATAGGTTTTAGTTATACAGCGTTTTTCTGCTTCTTCCCATATGTATTTGGAGAACCGTGTGTGTGTACAGACAGGGGTAGTACGACAGTAGCTTAGAAACGGGAGAGTTCCTGTGAGTAGGAATCCTACAAGCAATAGAGCTTTATAAAGTATCCTAACCTTATGAGGTGGAAGCACTAGATATCCTTGTAAACTCTTACTGGTGCCTGCTTCTTGTTATTTTAGCATACTAAATAACACTTGTGCCATTAGATTTTTTGTTGGGTTCCTTTTTTCCTGTGTTTTTCCGCTTCTACGTTTTGCTTTGCTTTGCTTCCCTCCCGCCCCTGTCGGTGTAATACCTATATCTTCTCAGCCAAAGCAGCTCTTCTGTTAGTAGCTCAAACCTAATTTTTCACAGGGTGGACTATGTAGAATGTAAATTCCAGGGGAGACAGTTTTCACATGGCTTTTTGTGTTCTTAAATAGAAAGCAATAAGTACATTTTCAATCATATGCGACTTTTTGGTAATTTACAGCAAACATCAAGTACTTATGCCTCTGTCTTGGCAGCAGCTGAATAGAAACACATGCCTAGGACCCAAACTGGTATTTGAAGACATTCTTTCTAATATTGACAGTGAAAGCTGCATTTTTGAAAAGGATGAGTGTGTTTTCTGTCTCTTTTTTTTTTTTTTTTTTTT